GCAAGATCGAAGAAGAGGAGGAGAAGGAGGAGGAGGAGGATAACTTGCAAGGAGGAGCAAGGAGGAGAGGAGGAGGAGGAGGAGGAGGAGGAGGAGGAGGAATGAGGAGGAGGAGGAGGAGGAAGAGGAGGAGGAAGATGACTTGCAAGATCGACGCAAACATGCGCTCCTGCTGGGCGCCGTGCTCCTCCGGGGGGAACGGCTCGCAATATATCTCATTCGGAAGCCTCGAGGGCGCCTCGGGGAGATCGTCGGGCCCCCGCAGGTGCCCCCCTCAAGCCATCCAAGAGGCTCGAGCCCCTCATTTGCATCCAAGAGGCTCGATGCCATCCAAGAAGCTCGATGCCATCCAAAGCCATCCAAGAAGCTCGATGCCATCCAAGAAGCTCGGTGCCCCCCAAAGCCATCCAAGAGGCCCCCGAGAAGCACCCCCAAGAGCCCCTCGTTTGCATCCAAGAGGCTCTCGACCCAAGATGCTTGCCGTCGATCGGACGTCCATTTCCCGAGCTTTTTTTGGTGTCGTGCGCGTTTTTTGTTGCTCGATGGTCCAGGATGGTCCTCGAGGGTCCTCGCCGAGAAAAAAATGCACACGTCCGAGCGATGCCAAGGATACAGCTTTCAGGATCGTTTCAACCACTTACTCCTTCTGGGGTTCGGCGGACTGACGTAAGCCACTGGAGTCAGGATCGGTGATGGTGCTTTCAGGTTGTTTGGGTCACGGCAATCGGGATAATCAGATCCTGTAAGTAGCCTCGAAGCCACATGTCGGGGACTAGCCAGCATGAAATTGAAGGTCGCGAGCGAAAGCTGTGTCATGTGTTCGCACCACCCCTATGCAGTACGAGTTGCTCGAGCCCGTCGGATTTCAGGATCTCAGGTTCGTTCTCAGAGGAGCGCTGGCTTTCTCGGGACGACCTTGGGAGGAGACAACGAGCATGTGCGAGCCACCAGGCGCAAGAGGCTTGAGAAATATGAGGTCATGCGTTCTAAGGTCAGGACGTTCGCAGCAGCAGGACGAAGGTTTGCGACGACTTCCAAGCTGGAGCGTTTAGGCGCGCGGGCGGCTGGGCCGTGCGCATACCAGCTCCACGGTGTCTTCGACGTGTACCTCACCAAGTATAGGAGGCGACTCGGTGCTGCGGTGCGGGCAGCGTTCAGAAGCAAATGCACCACCACGTTGCTGTCGCTGCGAGCGCCAGTCGACCCGGCACCCAACATGCCAGAGGAGTGCGTTCGCATGCGGTTCCGAGCTTGGCAGAGCGAGCCCAGAATCAGGAGCAGCATCGAGAGAGTGTTGGATGGCTTGGTCAACAAGTTACGTGCTGTACCTCAGGGGCGACGGTCGCGTCCTGCGTCGGCCATCATCACATTTTGTTGAAGAATGGATGGGATCCGAGATCGGCTACGCAATGCACATTTCCATGGCGCGCCGACACTGGCGAGACTACCGAATGGAATTTCCCAGATTCAACGTGGGCGGTTTGGCTCGATGTCAACCGCCCAGGGCCACTCATTCAAGAACTTCAACGTACTAGTTCAAACAAGCTTTGGTCAAATGTAGCTGCTCATTTCTTTGGTGGAGGTCTGGAAGGTGGTCCGGACGTCGATTCAGACCGACAACTGTACCAGCAGCTCCTGGCCTACGGGAGTCGTCTTGCCGAGCTGATGGTCACGATGGCTTCAGCAGCGTCTTGGCCGAGAGTCAGGAGAGCGGAGCCGGCAGCAGCGGCAGGCAACGCAGAACAGGCATCTCCTTGGTGTGCTCGTGGTGGCGTAGCAGAAGAGGCCAAGGTTCATCGGGTGTGTGCGGGGGTGCTCACATCAGGGCTCTCCGGCCGAACTTTCAGAGTCCATGGAGCAAGAGATGCAGGTACACTGGCAGTCTACAGAATGCTTTCGGTTGCGAGAGCTCATTCCCCAAGGTTGACTGACAGTCAGTCCGCCAATTGACGAGGAGGTCTGGAGCTTCTCTAGCAACGAGTTCAATGAGCCTGCTCCTGCATGCCTCGGCAGCGAGATCAGTAGAACACCTTTATACGTATTCGGTGACGCTAGTGGAGATCCAGAGTCAAGCAGTAATCGTTTCAGACGAGCGCTTATCAAATTGTCGTGCTGAGCCGTGCCAGCCCCTACGGTGTCGGGACCGCTTGCAGGGTCCCGACAGGGCGTGCCCAGAGGAGAGTGTCGATCTATTTTGTTGGCTTTGGAGTGAACGGAGGGCCACGTACAGGGCAATTGTTAATGCATAGCAGTTTTATTTAAACTGTAGGATTTTTAATACATGACTAATTTATGAACAAATTCATGCATGAACTCATCGTTGTTTTTAATACTAAGTCCCTGCATTTTTTGTACATGATCCGCACGCGGAGCATGTATTAAAAACGGCACTGGGGTCTACACGACCGGCAGCGGCTCAGTGGCCGACGGCGGGGCAGGGAGAACAGATTTACATCCAGAAGGTCTTGAGGCAGACCTTTGGCACCAGATCGGCAGAGATCTAGAGTTATATCGGGCGTGTCCCCCTACAGGGGGGTTTTCGACAAAAAAAAGAAATACCAAAAAATGCCCCCAAAAAGGCAAACAAATACTAACAAAATAGTCCCCATACTATTTTTGGATTATTTTTAAGGTATTCTTTATTCCCAACCATCCTGTGGTGTTGGGTCCTCGTTTTGCAGAGACGTCGCCCCGCGTTCTCCTCCTCCTCTCCTCCTCCTTCCTCCTCCTCCCCTTCCTCCCCCCTCCTCCCCCTCCCACACCCCATTCTGGCACACCCCTCACACGTTTCGTGGCTCCATAGGGAGCTCCACCGAAGGCCCCAGTGGCTGCGCCCGCATGCGGTTCCACCCCCCATTCTGGCACACCCCTCACACGTTTCGTGGCCCCATAGGGAGCTCCACCGAAGGCCCCAGTGGCTGCGCCCGCGTGCGGTTCCACCCCCCATTCTGGCACACCCCTCACACGTTTCGTGGCCCCATAGGGAGCTCCACCGAAGGCCCCAGTGGCTGCGCCCGCATGCGGTTCCACCCCCCATTCTGGCACACCCCTCACACGTTTCGTGGCCCCATAGGGAGCTCCACCGAAGGCCCCAGTGGCTGCGCCCGCATGCGGTTCCACCCCCCATTCTGGCACACCCCTCACACGTTTCGTGGCCCCATAGGGAGCTCCACCGAAGGCCCCAGTGGCTGCGCCCGCATGCGGTTCCACCCCCCATTCTGGCACACCCCTCACACGTTTCGTGGCCCCATAGGGAGCTCCACCGAAGGCCCCAGTGGCTGCGCCCGCATGCGGTTCCACCCCCCATTCTGGCACACCCCTCACACGTTTCGTGGCCCCATAGGGAGCTCCACCGAAGGCCCCAGGTGGCTGCGCCCGCATATTTCCACCCCCCATTCTGGCACACCCCTCACACGTTTCGTGGCCCCATAGGGAGCTCCACCGAAGGCCCCAGTGGCTGCGCCCGCATGCGGTTCCACCCCCCATTCTGGCACACCCCTCACACGTTTCGTGGCCCCATAGGGAGCTCCACCGAAGGCCCCAGTGGCTGCGCCCGCATGCGGTTCCACCCCCCATTCTGGCACACCCCTCACACGTTTCGTGGCCCCATAGGGAGCTCCACCGAAGGCCCCAGTGGCTGCGCCCGCATGCGGTTCCACCCCCCATTCTGGCACACCCCTCACACGTTTCGTGGCCCCATAGGGAGCTCCACCGAAGGCCCCAGTGGCTGCGCCCGCATGCGGTTCCACCCCCCATTCTGGCACACCCCTCACACGTTTCGTGGCCCCATAGGGAGCTCCACCGAAGGCCCCAGTGGCTGCGCCCGCATGCGGTTCCACCCCCCCATTCTGGCACACCCCTCACACGTTTCGTGGCCCCATAGGGAGCTCCACCGAAGGCCCCAGTGGCTGCGCCCGCATGCGGTTCCACCCCCCATTCTGGCACACCCCTCACACGTTTCGTGGCCCCATAGGGAGCTCCACCGAAGGCCCCAGTGGCTGCGCCCGCATGCGGTTCCACCCCCCATTCTGGCACACCCCTCACACGTTTCGTGGCCCCATAGGGAGCTCCACCGAAGGCCCCAGTGGCTGCGCCCGCATGCGGTTCCACCCCCCATTCTGGCACACCCCTCACACGTTTCGTGGCCCCATAGGGAGCTCCACCGAACGCCCCAGTGGCTGCGCTCGCATGCGGTTCCACCCCCCCATTTCGGCACACCCCTCACACGTTTCGTGGCCCGGGGGCGCCACCGAGGAATATATCCACAATTGCGGTATTCACAACTACGTATGGTTGGGTCTTTCGTCAGGCTAATTTTTCGTCGAAAATCCCCTTGTAGGGGGACAGGCCCGACTTAAATCTAGAGCAGAGAGATCAACCTGAATTCGTGATGTGTGATTCGTCAGCCGCCACCCGGAGGCCACGGACATGGTCCAGAGCACTGTTCCCTGGTGGATGGTGCAAGTGAGCATGGTGACAGACATTCTCGCGGGACCGGCAGCCGAACGCGTCAGAGCTTCAGAGCATCAGAGATTGGAGATTCGCAGGGTCGAGACGAAGACGTTCCAAGCCCGACTACGCCGACTTTGTGCGACAGTAAAAACGCTGGAGAAGGAGAAGGAGTTGAGCGTCCCAGAAAAAAGGGGATGCAGTGAACAAGTCTCTCCTCCTCCTCCTCCTCCTCCTCCTCCTGTGACGAACCCCCGCCCGAGCTGTTCGTTTGAATCGGATCTTGCCAGGCCGACGGCCGAAGGCCGGAAGCCGGGCTGTGCTAACTCGGAAGGGATCATGACAGAATCCGCACTGGCGGTGCGCCTGGCGTCGCTCCCTCACTTCCTCCTCCCGCCCATCCCTCCTCCGCCCTCCTGTGCCCAATCGGAAGGGATCATGACAGAATCCGCACTGGCGTTGCGACTGGCGTCGCTCCCTCGCTTCCTCCGCCCGCCCATCCCTCCTCCGCCCCCTCCCTCCTCCCTCCCCCATCGCCCGGTTCGCCGCGCCTGCCGCGCCGCGACTCAGGCGCCCCCGGCGGCGGCGGCGGCGGCGGACGCGAGGGCGACGACCTCGGAGGAGCGGCGCAAGAGGGGGGAGGAACGATACGGTCGGGCTGCTGCAAGGAACTCTATATTTACATAGATGCATGCATGTATGTATGTATGTATGTATGTATGTATGTATGTATGTATGTATGTATGTATGTATGTATGTATGTATGTATGTATGTATGTATGTATATAAAGAAAGCCTTATACATCTATACTATGCATACATATACACATATGTATACTATTTACATCTATAACGAGCGAAGAAGCCCCCCCGAGGCCCGATGATGCCCCCCACGAGGCCCAAAAGAGGCCCCAGATGGGGCACCGAAGAGGCCCCCCAAAGAGGCCTCACCCGTGGACTTCTTCCGCCTTCGGGGGGGGCGGCGGAAGGGCGTACGCCTCGCAAGGAAGGAGCGGCAAATCAAGAACGGTGCGCCTCTTGGCACCCAGAGAGCCTGGGTGCACGAGGAAGGCTACAGTCGGAGCGTTGGCCCAAGGAACCCTAAATAAGGAACGAGGCCCTTTTCATCCACAAGTTGAACTTCGATTTTCCTATCGAAAACCTAAGGAAAACCCAAGGCAAGCTGTGAAACACTCAAGGAACACGGAGCCCCTCCCCAACGGAAAGGGTTCCTTCTTCAGGGCCCCGACTGTAGAGGAACAATCACGGAATGACCTAAGGAACAGCGGGGCCCCTTCCGAACCCAAGAAGGTTCTTATTTCAGCGCCTGGACTGTAGTGCCAGGAGTGGCGCAAGAGGGAGCGGGGATAGGTGCCAGGATCGACACTGCCAGGAGAGGGTTGGCGACGACCTCGGAGGAGCGGCGCAAGACGGGGGGGGAGGGAGGGAGGGAGGGAGAGAGGATCGAGGCTCGACACTGCCAGGCTTTTAGGCGCTCCTTGGTTCTCCAATGGGGGGGGCAGGTCGGGAGGTGAACAACCGTCGAGCACGCTCGGACGGCCGAAGGCGCGAGAACGCGTAAGGAGGAAACGGAGGAGGATGTGGAGGAGGAGGAGGAGGAGGAGGAGGAGGAACGAGGAGGAGGAGGGAGGACGAGGAGGAAATCCTTGGAGGGAAACCTGGTCCTTGCCAGTCCGAACCTCTGGGGCCAAGCATCCTGCGGTTGCCCTCCCTGGTTGGGGCTCTCTTGGGGATCTCGGGGCCGCCGTGGCCATCTCGGAGGCGTCCCAGGGCTGCTGGGACCGGCTTGGCACTCTCTCGGGGCCCTCTTGAGCCCCCGTGGGGCTCTCTCCCGCTGGGGAGCCTGCAAGGATCCTGTTGGGCCGTCTTGGGGCGATGCGGCGAGGAGGAGGAGGAGGAGGAGGAGGAGGAGGAGGAAGAGGAGGAGGAGGAGGAGGAGGAGAAGGGGCGGCAAGGGGAAGATGCGCGCTTCGCGCGCTTCGGTTCTGGCAAGCTGTGGCCGCAACCTAGCGGCACCGGACCAATGAACTGAATATCTGGGTTGGGGAGGTCCAGCGCGAGCCGCTCGACACTCTCGCTATATCAATGAGAGAAGAAGCGCTCGAGCGGAAGCACCCAGCCGATGCCAAGTACGCTGCAGATGACTGCCTGCTCTTTCTAAGGTGGCAGGCGGTTTCTCATCTCTTTCCCCAAGAAAAGGCTTAGACCCAAGATTTTCCCCCAGAATTGGCTTAGACCCAAGATGTTCGTTTTAGTAGGTTTACCCCCAGAATTGGCTTGAAGAGGGCCGGCGGAAGGACTCTGCGATAGGTAACAACGGAAAGTTTGACTTTTGTTTGAAGCCATGCGTGTTGCGCGTGCCCGCTCGAGGAACATGTGCGACTGCGGAATTATGTGTGCTAGCTAACAAAGTGAAGTCTGACTTGTTTGTTGAATGCGTTGCGCGCGTGCCCGATCGAGGACAATGCGACCCCTATCTCGGAAAGTCTATAGATAATGGTATCCGCGGACACACATTGTCCCTTGTAAAACACGCGTGCGGAGCGTTTTGCGCAGACTCCGCAACTGAAAGCCACGGTACCAGGCGAGGTGGGGGGAGGAGGCGCGCGATCTAGCGGCATCGGACCAATGAACTGAATATCCGGGTTGGGGAGGTCCAGCGCGAGCCGCTCGACACTCTCGCTATATCAATGAGGAGAAGCGCTCGAGCTGAAGCACCCAGCCAACGCCAAGTACGCTGCAAATGACTGCCTGCTCTTTCTAAGGTGCAGGCGGTGTCTGATGTCTTCTCCCCAGAAAAGGCTTAGACCCAATATTTTCCCCCAGAAAAGGCTTAGACCCAAGATGTTCGTTTTAGTAAGTTTACCCCCAGAATCGGCTTGAAGAGGGCCGGCGGAAGGACTCTGCGATAAGTAACAGCGGAAAGTTTGACTTTTGTTTGAAGACGTGCGTGCTGCGCGTGCCCGCTCGAGGAACATGTGCGACGGCGGAATTAAGTGTGCTAACTAGCAAATTGAGGTCTGACTTGTTTGTTGAATGCGTTTCGCGCGTGCCCGATCGAGGATAATGTGACCCCCTATCTCGGATAGTTTATCTATAGATAACGGTATCCGCGGACACGCGTTTTCCCTTGTAAAACACGTGTGCGGAGCGTTTTTGTGCAGACTCCGCAATAACGCACTGAGTCCTGAAGCTTTGGAACTTGTAGGACAAATCATGTTTTTTGTTTGCCCGCTCGAGGATGACGCGCCCTGCGCACCGAATACCTGAGGATCTCGAGCGAAACGCTTGTTTTACAGATTTTGAGCGGCCTGGGCGCCCCAGGATGCCCAGGTGGTACAGGGAGCGCGGACAGAACAGAATTGAGTGGGGAACGTGGCCCTGGGAGCGCGGTCATAACGTAATTCACGAGGGAGCGTGGCCCTGGGAGCGCGGACGCAGCATAGTTTACGAGGGATCGTGGCCAAGGGAGAGCGGACGCAGCGTAATTTACAAGGGATCGTGGCCCAAGGGAGAGCGGACGCAACGTAATGTACGATGGATCTTGGCCCTGGGAGCGCGGACGCAGCGTGATTTACGGGGGATCCTGGCCCGAGGGGGGCGGACACAATGTAATTTCATATAGGTCCTGGCCCTGGGGGCGCTGACAGAGCGTTTTGTATCATGGATCTTGGCCCCGGTGGCGCGGACGCAGCGTAGTTTACAAGCGATCGTGTCCCTGAGAGCGCGAACTCAGAGCAACTTACGATGGATCGTGGCCCTCGGAACGCGAACCCAGTGTAATCTACCAGGGGCCGTGGCCCTGGAGCGTGAATCTTTACTATGTCAAAAGAATCGTGGCCCTGGGCGCGCGAATCCAGCGAATTTTCGAGGGACCATGGCCTTGAGAGTGTGACCCCCGTGTAATTTACAAAGGGTCGCGGCCCTGGATGTGCGATGGATCGTTGTCTTGGGAGCGCGGACGCAGCGTAGTTTACGAGTGATCGTAGCCCAGGGAGGGCGGACGCAGCGAAAATTTTACGAGAGATCGTGGCCTTGGGAGCGCGGTCCCGTCGTAATGGCTTCGTTCATGGGTCCGCCGGGCGTTGCTCCTTTCTGATTCTGCAGTGTCTGGGGAGGGATGGCGGGGGGGAGGCAAACCGCGTTTTCTGGAGCGGAAGGCTTGCCGGGGAGCATTGTCCCGTGCCACGTCCCGTGGCACGTTCCCTGACGCGTTACCTGGCACATCCCCTGGCGCGTCGCCTGGCACGTTCCTTCGAACGTTCCGCGGCGCGTCCCGTTGCGAGCCCCCCTAGCACGTCGCGCGGCGCGTCCCCTGGCACGTCCCGTGGCACGTTCCGTAGCGCATCCCCTTGGCAAGTCCCGCGGTGCGTCCCCACGGCACGTCTCCTGTCACGTCCGCTGGCGCGTCTCTTGGGACGTTCCGCGACGCGTTCCCCCTGGCATGTCCCCCCTGGTATCGCCCAGTTGCATATGTAATTGAGGTCCTTAGAAACGGTTCAATGCCTCGCAGTTCTCAATCCATTTCCGGGGTTCGTGGGTCGATCATGTTGTTGAGGGGGGACGGGCAACGAGTATTGGCTTCAGCCGCAAACGACGCGGCCCAAGTATGTTAGTTGTCATGGTGTTGGGTCATCTGCGCAATATCTTCTTCGTTGAATATCCCACTTCCTCATTCATGGGCGAGGCAGTTGAAACGGGATACTCACATGGAGGTTCTCCACCGAATACTTCTACTGGTGCACCGTTGCAATGTCCCCAGCGGCTTTCCTACTTCGGTCTCCTCCTTCTACTCGCTGTTGCTGCTAATATTATTCCTCCTTATCCTCCTCCTCGTCATCCATCAGTAAATATAATTGCTGGCAATCTGCCCTAAATTGGAGGCCCCTCGACAAGGTTCTCTTCGGGAAGTCGGGTTCTGGGCTCAGCCGGTATGGTAAGAACCTGGTTCGCAGCCTGGTTTCGGGGACCCATTGGCCTCAGGTGCGCCTGCACCGTCACGCGCGGTCAGTGTCTGACGTGTGCAATTTGTGGCTGCCTAGGCACTCTTTTTCACAAGGGGTTCGATTGCCCGTGCTCTGCCAGCCTCAGGCGCACGGATATGCTGGAATCGCTCGGTTTCGCTGCCTTTCGCGTGAGCAAGTTGGGCGCTGACGAGGCCGGACTTTTTTCGCGTTGTCTTTTTCCTTGAGCTCTGTTTCGGCCGGCCCGAGGCTCCGGAGGAGCGCTGGGTCAGGTTTGTTGGCGCCCGTCCTGGGTGGCTCTGGGGGGGGGGGCCGTCTTTGTGGACGGATCGGCCTTCAGCTCCAAGCACGGTTCTTGTAGATGTGCGGGCTGGGCTGCGGTGCAAAAGTTCAGGAGGGCAATTTTGTGGCCTGCATGTACGGATGGTTCGGAGGGCTTGGGGCCCTACGCAGTGGGCGCGGGACGGGGAGGATCACGCGTTTCACATGCTTGCTCGTTTTTCGGAACCTCCGTCTGAAAATGATTCAGGGGTGCCGCTCGAAGTGTTCAGCGATTGTGCCGGCTCCGTGAGCTGCGTCACGGATTCGGCCTCAGCTCTGGATCCTCGGCATGAGCGGCGCCACCATTGGAGGCGTTGGTGGGGCAAAATAGGCTCTTCCGCATCTGTCGTGAAGGTCAAGGCACACCGAAGCCTCCGGGATGCCACGTCTTTGGACGATTTGTGCAAGCTTCGCGGTAACCGCCTCGCGGATGAGTGGGCGAGAAGAGGGCTTAGCTTCGGGACATGTCCCCGGAGCAGGGAGTCTTTGTGGAGGCTTGCGAGCGTAAGGCGGAGGACGCTGCTGCGTGGATGGAGAAGCTCCATGAGTGGCTTCACCAAGCAGGCCTCCATCGGGCTGGGCGAAAGGGGGGGAAAGCAAAGGGGGGGTGAGAATCAGCTCGCGTAGCTGATTTTCCCGGCGCCTCCCGGCGCCGGAGGCGGCCATGTATCGAGGGATGGGCCCCTCGGTGGGGCCGAAACCAGCTGCATGCAGCAGATTTCGTACCCCCCCCTTTCCCTATCCCCCCTTTTCGTCCGGCCCGACTCCAGGACACAGACGGCGTCGACGGAACGGCCGACGTCGTCCTTGACCTCGATTTCGATGCTTCGAGCCTCGGGCTAGAGTCTTAGAGGAGGCCGGCGAGTGGGCGAGGCACTGCGAGCAGCGGTCGCGGCTCCAGTCTCGCATTACCCTCCCGCCTGAGCTGTATCCGAGCCCGGCCAGAACGGCTGTACCGCCCGCGGCGGCGTCGAGCGCTGCAGCTGGAAGCGATGGTAGCATGCTGGGGCCGTGGCTGTTTCCGGGGCATGAGATCGTTCAGGCCGAGGCGCACGGCTCAGACGGTGAGCCTTCTGTTCTTGTTATGCACGGGTTGCGGCGCCAGCGTGCAAAAACACTTCAGACCTGGTTCGGGACTCGCCGGCATCTGCAAGGGCAACCGGCATCCAGGGCTAGCCACACAAAAGAGCAGGACTCGGAGAGGCTTGCATCCAAATTCAACTCTGTCCCAGCCCCAACGGTTCGAGTCGGTCGACTCTCCGCCGTTCAAGTCCGAGCGCAGTGGGTGGGGAAGCTGAGAGTGTCTTCCGGTTCAGGGTCAGAGCTTGTAGGAGTCACATACGGGTTGATAGCCCCTGAGCCAACTCGATATGTACAAGGTCGCTGCGTTGTATGGCTTCTCAGATCCGCGGGAAGCGGTTGATTGGTGCCTCACGGAGCACGCGAGAGAGGCCAGGAAGCGGCAGACCCAAGGGGACCATGGGCTCCCCCTGACTTTACCGAAATACGTTTGCATCAAGTGTTCGCTGGACGCGATGGAGCTCGCTCCATGCTCTGAATCAGCCTGAACCAGCCTCCTCCTCCTTCTCCTCCTCCTCGTTTTTCTTCCTCGCCACATCACCTTCCAACTTCGACCTCCCCCCTGCTTCTTCCTCCTCCTCCTCCTCCCTCTCCTACTCCTCCTCCTCGTCCGTCCATCCCTGCCTGCATCCTTTACCCACCTTCGTCCTCCTTACGTAGAGGAACAAGAAGAGGCATAAACATAAACTTTGGAGGTCCGCGCGGGTTTCTTAATCGGCGCTGGACCCCCTCCCTGGCGCGCTGGACCCCAACGCCGACCCGAGAAAATTGCAAGAAGCTCCGACACTTCATGTTTATCCGATGCGTGTGTTCTTCGACTCTTCACGTCATCCTCCTCTCCAAATCATCTTCCGACTTCGACCTCCCTCCTGCTCCTTCCTCCTCCTCCTCCTCCTCCTCGTCAATCCATCCCTGCCTGCCTGCATCCTCCACCTACACGCGTCCTCCCGTACCCCCGCCACCCTCCAGCTCTCCTTCCGGGGCCAGCAGGGCCGGAGCACGCGCGCCCGCACGCGCCGGCTGCCGAGGAGGGCGGCGTCGTGCACGCTTCGCGAGGTGGCCCTGCTCCCCATCTTCTCCGCCACGGACAACCTCGGTTGCCCACCCCCCTGGTGAGTAGAGAGCATCGAGTGGGACGCAGAAGGACCTACAGGTGCTCTGTGTCCTCCTCGGAGGCGCCCGCCCGAACAGAACACACAGTACAAGAGCATCTTGTAGTTTCATCGTTTCCCAAGCGGTATGGCCAGAGAGCGCCCGCCACAGAGCTTATACACTGTAAGGTTTCTCGGCGCGCGCGCCGCCCCTGGGGAGCAGACGCACACGTAGTATCAGCATGCTTGGGTGATGCCGACCCCATGGTGACTACGGCAAGTTCGTGTCGAGTCGACCCCGGCGTTGGTTCCGGACACCACGCTGGATCGTTCAACCTTGAACGATCGACGGTTTCCCAGCCGTTAGATCGTTCAACATCGACCGATTATCGAGCGCCGACGGCGTTCAACGTTGAACGCCGGCGGTGGGGTCGCCGCCGGTTGAGGCGACGCGAACCTACTGCACAAGAAAGAACATCGAAAGTTGGGCGGTGAGAACAAAGTGACGTCGAGCGGGAAGTCGGTATCGGTTTCGGTTCGTGTCGTGCGTGCGAGGCGAAACTGCGCGGGGGCGACGAGATATGTAGGCCGAGACTGAGGCCACATCGGGCAAACAATCTCTGTCCCCGTCTAGCTCGCGGGGGCCCTAAACAGAATGAACTGTCCCGTGGTTGTCCCGTGGTTGTCCCGTGGAGTGCCCCATGGATTGACCCAAAGGCTGTTCTGTGGGTTGCCTCGTCGGTTAATCTGTGGTTATCCCGTGGGCCGTGGTTGTCCCGTTGGTTGCCCCATGGGTCGTCCCGTGGTTGTCTTGTGAATCGTTCCGTGGTTTGCCCCCTGGTTTGATCAAAGAAACTGTGGATTCGGCTTGTGTCGGGGAGTCGATTTTCTGAATGTATGGGGCGGGGGGGGGCCAGGCGGACAGTGACGACGACGTCGACGAGGGCGACGAGTACGAGAGGAAGGAGGAAGTGGACGACGAAGAGGGGGCGGAAGGCCAGCACCCCCATCCGTCCTGTCGTCCTGTCCAGCAGCCGATCGCAAGGGCAGGAAGGAGACACGCATCGGTGTCACATTGGAGCCATCTTGGGGTCAACTAGGGTTCACGGGGTCATAGTGGAGCAATCTCGAGGCAATCTCGAGGTCGTTTTGGAGGAGGCTTTCGTATGTAACGGAGTACCCCTTGGAGGCGGTGTGATATTAGGGCGGCGTGGTTGGTGATGTCCTTGTTTGTTGTTTGCGGTTTGATCTCGGTGTTGCTGTTGACTTCTGCTCTTGGTGTTGTTGTTGCTGCTGCTGATTCCCTTATGCGAATCATACGATTTGCTAACACTGCTGGTGGCTTTCGTTGTGATCAGACCAAAACACGTCGGAGGATGGATTAATCAAGCATGGCCGCGACGAGTGTTTTCCCCAATCAACGCTTGCACTGAAGGTGCCCTCGCGGATGATGAAGGATTTGGCGAAAATGCCCCGCCGATTTTGGTCGCACGCTAAGTTCCCGGGTTCCCGGGTTCCTGGTTCCGGGTTCCCGGGTTCCCGGTTCCGGACCGATTTCGGAGGGCGGCGAAGTTCCCGGGTTCCCGGGTTCCTGGTCGAGCTTCTTATCGATCGGTCTCCCCATCGATCTCATTACCGACTTCTCGATCGATCTCACCATCGATCTCACAATCGATCTCACTATCAATCTCACAAGCGATCTCACTAGAGATCGCATGAGCGATCTCGCGATCGATCTCACTATCGATCTCATTGAATCGATTTCACTTTCGGTCTCACGATCGCCCTTACAATCGTCCTCACTATCGATTCCACTATCGATCTCCTTATCGATCTCACAATCGATCCCAAGATCCATAGTATCAATGTTCCTATCATCCACTGATTGGGTTTTCTCAGGTGTAATGAGATATAAAGGATGATGTGCGTGTTAATTGTATTGCTGTTGATGTCACTGTGTTGTCGTTACTCTTGATGCTGGTTGTGTTGTTGATATTGCTGTCATGTTCGCTGTTGTCCCAATGGCTGGTGATACTCTTTTGTTCAATCGGTGTCTTCGCCGCATGTGTTCGTCCCGCCTGGGCTCGTTGACCATGGCGACGGCCTAACGTCCGGAAAAAAAAACGGTTTCTGTGATGCTTGGTTTTGATTGATGGTGGTGCCTTCGTCGTCGTCGTCGTCGTCGGTGGTTGAGTTCTCACTTCTGAAAAGGGAAGAGGGTGGAGGAGGGAGAAAAGGAGGAGGGGAAAGACCAGTGCAAACCCAAAAGTCATCAACGATGTTGGAATAAACCCTCCCTCCAAGATCCCTCTTCATAGGCCCCTATAACGGTGCATTTGCATTGAAGGAACTGCCTAGTTGGAAGGCAACATTTAAAAGACCCTGAAGCATGCACTATACATTGTTCTCGGGATTCCAACGCCACGGATCAACCTGACTGTTGCGTCTTGGCGATCCTAAATCATGCAAGAACGCCTTTCCGGGGACTTCAACACCGCGAACCTGCATAACTTTTGCGCCCGCATAATCCTGAACCCGTCCAAAACACAAATGCTGGTACGTTGATCATTGGAACCCGTGAAACTCTTGTACGATGTATAAAACGAATGTGCGCGGCGCTAAGGCGAGAACCACATTTCGAAAAGGAACCGCCCTGAATCCGTGAAACCCTTGCAATTGTTTAAAACGAATGTGCGCGACGCTAAGACGAGGACCACATGTTGAAAAGGAACCGCCTTCAATAAGTGAAATCGTCGCCGTCGTCGTCGCCGTCGGTGGTTAAGTTCTCACTTCTGAAAAAGGAAGAGGGTGGAGGAGGAGGAGGGGGAGGAGGAGGGGGAGGAGGAGGAGGAGGGAGGAGGAGGAGGAGGAGGAGGAGGAGGAGGAGGGGGACGGAGGAGGAGGAGGAGGAGGGGGACGGAATATAAAGATGAAGAAGGATTATTTGCTCCATCACAGCGTCTGCTTGACCTCACGGAGGACCCATAACGCTTGAGGGTCCACCGCAAATCACGGCTCATAATCGGTCCGCCGATGGCTCGCAGGCTGCCGCCAGTAGTCTCTGGAGGTCCCTGTAGGTCTCTGGGGCCGCCCTGGAGGCCTCTGAAGCCTCTGGACGCGCAGGAGCGGTGAAGACGCGCGCACACATCTCTAGCCTTAAGTCGGGCCTGTCCCCCTACAGGGGGATTTTCGACAAAAAACAGAAGAATACCCCAAACATAATCAAAACAGACTCCAAAAATAGTCTGGGGACTATTTTTGGATTCTGATTTGACCTTTTTGGGGTATTTTGGGGGTATGTATTATTTTCGTCGAAAATCCCCCTGTAAGGTGACAAGCCTGACTTAACTCTAGCCCCGTCCCGTACACTCGATCCTCCCCCAGCTCCCCCTCCTAACCACAATCCAAAATCAGTCCTTCGACGGCTCCCGGGCACTGTCCAGATCAGCATCTCGAACCTCATGCCCAGCGGTGGCGAGGCCGAGGGAGGGGCCTCTGGCAGACAGGGAACCCAGAGGCATTCTCTAGCTCCAGCCAGTCCCAGCAAGTCCGGCCGCGCGGAAGCTCAGGGGCCCACCCCACGGGCTGCTCCTCGTTCTCTTGCGCAGCCTCCGCCTTGGGCGGCGGCAAACAGGCTGCGAAGACACCTCGTCGTCTTCGTCGTCGGCACCGTCGCTGTCGCCGCCGCCGTCGTCGCCGCCGCCGCCGTCGTCCTCCTCGTTCTTCTCCCTCCTCGCTCCTCCCTCTTCCCGCCCCTCCTCCTTGTCCTTGCCTCCCCGTCATCAATACCATTCTCTAGGCCTCCACCGCAACAAGACACTGTCGGTTCCAAGGAGTGTCAAGGACACTGCTGAGTGGCCAGCACTCGCTCGCATGAGGAAACGAATATTTCTCGAGCTACGCGTAGCCCGCTTCCCCGCACAGGCCGAGGCCTTGAGCCTGTGTGAGACGCAGGGCTCGTGGTCTCCGCCGTACCATCCTGTTCGGGTGAGGGAGAGCCCTGCTGGAACTGCGCTGTGCTGCTAAGTTTAGTTTCAAAAAACCCATATGTCAGCCTCCCATCTGCTGGGTGGCGTCCGCTGACTCGGACGTCTCTTCATCGCTCGTTCCCTCTTCCCGTGCCTCCTCCTCCTCATCATCATCATCTTCCTCCTCCTCCCCCTCCTCCTCCTCCTCCTTCTCCACCTCCCCCTCCTGGTCCTTCTCCTCCACCTCTTCCTCCTCCACTTCCTTCTCCTCCCTCTCGCCTTCGTCCTCCCTCTCCTCCGCATCCTCCTTCTTATCCTCGCCCTCCTCCTCCTGCTCGCCTACCTCGGATGAATAGCCCTTCTCGACCTCCTCGTGCTCATCATCTGTTCTTTCTCCTCGTCCTTCTCGTCCTGCTCTATCTCACTCTTTCATTTACTGCTCCGGACCCTGCTCCTTCTCCTCATCATCTCCGTCCCCACCATCTTCACCAGCATCACCAGCATTACCATCATCTTCACCATCACTATCATCATCATCAGCAGCAACATCATCATCAACAGCATCAGCATCAGCATCATCAGCATCAGCATCGACATCATCATCAGCAGTAGTATCAACACCATCATCGATACCAATATCAATATCACTAGCACTACACCAGAGAACACCCAATCAGTGTATTTCTAATCAGGGGTCCTCCGCCTCCCGACTCGCGGACTCTTGCGTGCATCGCCCCTCCTTTCCCAGGCCACTTCTCTCGTGCCCGCTCGAGGATGGTGCACCTCCAGCATGGCAGCTAATGCCTAAACCCATATTCCAAGCGCGCCCGCTCGAGGATGGTGCGCTCACCACGTGGCAGCTAATGCCTGAACTCCTCTGCCACGCGCGCTTGCTCGAGGATGGCGCACCTCCCGCATGGCAACTACTGCCTGAACGCTGGTTCCTGCGCGCCCGCTCGAAGATCGTGCACTTCCAGCATGGCTGCTAACTCACCCTCCTCCCGCACTCACCCGCTCGAGGAGCATGCACTTCCGCATTCCCAGGCGGTGTTCCCTAGCGTTCCAGGGCCTCCTAAGCCACGATCCCTGGTAAAAACGATGGAAATGCGTCCCGAGTTAAGACGGCCCGTGCAGAGAACCAAGAACATTAAGACTGCCCACGATGCCTTGAAGACGGCCCCCAAATGGCCCCAAGGCGACCGAATACTGTTTCAAAAATGCCCAAGGTGCATCCAAGAGGGCCCCAAATTGCCACAAGAAGTCCCCCAACAGGGTTAGAAGAAGCAGAAACCAAAATCACTGATTCCCCCCAAGATTTTTGAATTGTGTTCGCATTCTCGCCTTTTCGGGCGAGCTCATATTTCTTCGAGCGGCCGGCAATCGGTTCCTGCCGACCGCGCCCAGGGCAATCTCGCCCTCCTTCACGTGCGTGGATGCGTGCGTCCGGCTTCTTCAGGGCACCGCCCGAGATCAGTGGGGGCACATCCTTGCCCGCGAGGCCGAAGCGGGCCGCGACTCACTCGCCGCCCCATTCCACGGGTACCAACACCGCCGCGCGGCCGTAGATCGCGCCGCCTGGCCCGAACCGATCGGGCTCGCGCTCCTTCGCGACCGTGAGCTCGTAGACCCGCGTCTTCTCGACGCGCGGCGACAGTCGCCTGTGCCGGGAGAGCCCAGCCGCAGACTCGGCGCATGCCGCGTCGACCACGATCAGCCACAGCTTTTCGCCAGACTCGGCGATCAGCGCGCTCCGTGAGTCCACGCGCGCGGGTTCTTCCTCTGGCGTCGGCTCCGCCTCGCCGAAGGGCTGACTCACCGCGGCCGCCGCTCTTCCCCCGCCCTTGGCAAGGGCCCTGTCGGGTCGCCCTTCCAGCGGCCCAGACGTCCGCCGCGCTTGCGCGAATTTGCCAAGCGTTTGCGCCGCTGCCTCCCTTCGCGCCGCCGCGGTAGAATTCGCGCGCCTTCCCCGCAGGCCAGCAGTTCCTCAGGAACATGTCTGTTCTCGGCGGCCGCCTCCTCTGCTCCTAGATCGTCCTCGGAGTCCGTTTCCTCGTCGTGCTCTGCGTCTTCGGGCCACTCGCCGTCGTCATCAGCGGCTTCGCCAGGGTCGCCCTCCTGGCCGCCACGCGCAGCGTGCGCGGCGCATCCCCCACCGCGGCCAGTGGCCCGCCCTGGCCTTCGACGGCTCGGGTTGGGGCACTCTCGGCGAGCTCCGCCTCCACCGCCTGCGCTCGGCGGCAGGGTCGACATCTTCCGCGGCACCGATAAGCGGGGCAGGCATGCCTTGGCGGAGTCCCGCAGCTTCTCGTAGACCAGCTCGTTGCCAGCGCCCGTGATGATCTGGCTCTCCTTGTCGCCTCCTACTCGCAACTTGGTCAGGACATAGTGCGCCTTCAGGTGCTTGTTCAGAGGCTCGACCATGGCCTCCTCCAGCTCACGGACCTTCGTCCCGTAGCGCGTCTCGAAGCCCAGCACCTCTTCACCGACGTTGCGCGCGAACTTCTCCACGAATTCGTCCACCAGAGTGCCGACCTCCAGCGTCTCTTGCTGGTCGCGCTTGCTGTGCAGGTATCGCAAAAGCGCCTGGGCACCGTCGGGTACAGCAAGGGTTTCGAAATCGAGGTGATCCGTCTTTGCCTCGGTCCACCCCTTGAGCCTAGAGAGCAGCCGGCCGCCCCGCCGCTGAGGCGGGATCGCAGTGTTCAGCTAAAAAATCTTCACCCGGCGCTCGTAAGCGCACAGTGCCGCCGACGTGCCATCCCACTCGGGGGCGCACTTCTCGTCTCCTCTGTCGCGCCTGTCGCCGTCTCCGGCGGCTCCGCCGACGGCTCGCCAGCCGTCCCAGCTCCAGGTCTCCGACCTCTCGCTGGGCGTCCGGTCCCGACCCTCGGCCTCCGCCGTCCACCCGCGCCAGGCGGGCGCCGGGTCAGTCTCCGGCCTGAGGCGGCCCCAACGCCCCTGCTCCTCGGACCAGGGACTCCCCCTCTCACGCCATGGGAGCCCGCGCGTGCCCCAGTCACTCCACGAGCCCCTTCTGCCGTAGGAACGCCACGCCTGGGCCGCGGCCCCCCCCGCGCCGCGGGCGGTTCCTCCGGCGTGCGCCGCAGTGGCCTCGTGCCGCGATCGGCCCACGTGCCGTCGTCGGCCGATCGGGAGCCGTCATTTTCTTCTGGGTCGCCGGCCCGGGGACTGCCCCCTGCCTCCGCGCGCCGTGCGCGGGCTCGGGCTGCTGCCGCCCAAGCGTCCACGTCCCTTAACTGAGGACATAGCTGGTTTCCCAATGGGGTCGGCCTCGCTGAGGCTCCTCCGCCGCGACCTTCGCGACGGCACTCCGTGCCGTGGATCGAACCCGCTCGACGGCAGCTCCGCTACCAATGTCGATGTGATGTGTTTTTCACCACAAGCGGTCGTGCCCTGCTGCGGGCAAGCCAAAGAAAGGCAAAGCCCTCCTTCCGTCCTAGCGCCGGGACGGCTTGTAGCAGAAAGCGGCGTCGGGAAGGGAAATAGGTGGATGTGGCAGCAGCAGTGATCTTCAACAGAACACATGAGGAGGAAGACGGGCAGCAGGACAAGGAGAAGGAGAGGAGGTGGTGAGGAGGAGAGGGAGGAAGGCACGGAGAAGGGGTAATAATAATGGGCATAGGAAGAAGAGGCGGAAGAGGTGGGGGGTAAGGGGAGGGAGGAGGTGAACGAGGTGGGCGGGTAGGTGAGGGATTTGAACGAGATGGGAGGGAGGGACGACGAAGAGAAAGAGGACTACGGAGGAGGGGGAGGCAGAGAAGGAGGAGGAGGAGGAGGAGGAAGAGGAGAGAGAGGAATCAGGAGGAGGATGTGGAGGAGGAGGAGACGGGAGGGGGAGGAGGAGGAGGAGGAGGAGGAGGGAGGAGGGGGAGGAGGAGGAGGAGGAGAGGAGGAGGAGGAGGAGGAGGAGGAAGAGGAGGAGGAGGAGGAGGCGGAGGGGGGTGTTGACGGGGAGGAGGACGAGGATGGGTAGGAGGAGGACGAGGAGGAGGAGGAGGAGGAGGAGGAGAACGAGGACGAGGACGAGGAGGAGGACCGATGGCGAGGAAGAAGAGCGTCGAGGAAGGAAGCGGCGGCGCGGCAAGCGGCGAGGCGCCTCCCATATGGAGACGTTCTCCCTCAGGCACTCGTCCAGAGGCGCCGCCCCCTGAGCAGCGCGCGCGAGCCAAGATCTCGAGGCAGACGGAGGAGGTGGAGGAGGACGAGAGAAACGAAGACGAGGAGGGCAAGGAGGCGGATGAGGAGGGTGATGAGGCGGGCCAGGACGAATCGAGGGTGGACGAGGACGAGGAGGACAGACGGAGGTTGGAGTCAAACGCCTGTAGACTCCCCAGCAGGCCTTCGAGCCAAGGAACGAATAGCCCGAGGCCTGGGGGGAGGGACTGGTTCAGCGCAATTCTCGAACGGATACCCGGCGACCTCCCCCCCCGCCCCCCCGGGGCCCGGCCAAGCCCCACGACGGACGACACTGTCGAGCTACAGTGTGCACACTAAGCGTGGCCCTGAGTGGACAGGGTGCTGCCGCGAACCTGGGCAGGGCCGAGCGAGGGGCTTTGGCCAAGGCGCTGCGATCTGAGAGCCCCAGGCCGACTCGGGCCCTGGGGCGCGCCAGACGCGGGGGTTGCGAATCCTTCATAGTCCGTAAGCTCCTCTTCGCCTCCTTCCCTTCCCTCATCATCCATTTCCATTCCTCTTCCTCCTTTCCCTTCCCATTCCTCCATTCATCTTCGCTTCCTTTCCCTTCCCCTTCCGAAAGTTCCTCCTCCTCCTCCTCCTTCTCCTCCTCATCCATTTCCATTATCCCTCCTCCTCCTCCACTATCCTCGTCCTCGTCCTCCTCCTCCTCCCCCTCCTCCTCCTCCGTCTCGGGCTCCTCCTTCTCTCCTCCTCCTCCTCCTCCTCCTCCTCCTCCTCCTCCTCCTCCTCGCAAACCCGCCTCCTTTTCTTCTCCGGCACTTCCTCTGGAAGTCTCTGGAGGTCCTCAACAGTCTGGTGGAACAGAAACGATGGCGTCAACAACAGCTGATGCTCCTCCTTCTGCTCCCCCTCCTACCCCTCCTCCTCCTTCTCCTCCTCCTCATCCTCCTCCTCCTCATGCTCGTCCCTCTCCTCCCCCTCCTGTGGGCGACAGTGGGTTGAGACGTGTGGGCCTGGCGGTCATCAGCGTGAGCAACTTCGAGCCCCTGGTCCTCGACTGGCCGGTTTCTGGGGGCCTTCCGGGGGCATGGCAGAGCGTCCCCAGGGGATCAGTTCGCGCTGCTCGTCGCCGTCAGGATGTCCAGCGGGCACATGCACTTCGTCACGGACAACAGTGGAGTAGCAGACGGCTGGTACTCGGGCAGGTACGCCTCTTCCAGTGGGTAGGCTGGCGATATGTGGCACAAGATCAGAGTGGCTCTGGCTGGTCGCAGTCAGGCTGAGTTTGTTGTTTTGCTTGTGAATTCACATTATCACCGACACAGATGGTTCGAGGAGTTGCGCCGTGGCAGTTCATTGTTGGCAATGCGGCAGTTGACGAAATGTCGGCAGGAGCGGCTCGTCGTGTCAGGCTGACTGAGACCGATAGATATCGTGTACACAGGCTCGAAAAAGAGGTGGATAAGGTTGAGACTGATCAGAGCTACACTTGATGCTCTGGAGTCCGAGAGCGAACTGTTGCAAAAAGAAGAACCGCTGAGAATTGATCCTGGCGAAGGTCCCAACCATAGGCAGTTGTGGGTACCGTAACTGTGAATAGCTGCTTCGGTGAAGCTCCCTATGGGGCCACGAAGCGCTGCACTGGGCGGGGGGGAACGCTGTACTGTGTGGGTGGGGTGCCGAATTGGGTTTCCGGGGCGCATGCGGACGGTCCCAGTGGAGGGCTTCGGTGGAGCTCCATATGGGGCCACGAAGCGCTCTACTGAGTGATTGAAAATGCCAAACTGGGTTAGAGGGACGCATGCGGACGGTCCCACTGGGGGCTTCGGTGGATCCCGCTTATGGGGCCACGAAGCGCTGCACTGCGCGGGAGAAAAAGCCAAATTACATTTCCCGGACGCATACGGACGGTGGCACTGGGCCCTTCGGTGGAGCCCCCTAGGGGGCCACGAAACGCTGCACTGGGCAAGTGAAAGTGCCAAATTGGGCTTCTGGGACGCATGCGGACGGGGCATTGGGGCCTTCGGTGGAGCTCCCTATGGGGCCACAAAGCGCTGTACTGGGTGGGTGAAACGCAGAGAAGAGGGGGAGCAGGGCCACGAAACGCTGTACTGGGTGTGCGGGACGCATGCGGACGGTAGCGCTGGGACCTTCGGTGGGGCTTCTTATGGGGCCACGAAGCGCTGTACTGGGTGTGCGGGACGCATGCGGACGGTAGCACTGGGACCTTCGGTGGGGCTCCCTATGGGGCCACGAAGCGCTGTACTGGGTGGGTACAACGCAGGGAGGAGGGAGAGGAGGGCCACGAAACGCTGTACTGGGTGTGCGGGACGCATGCGGACGGTAGCACTGGGACCTCCGGTGGAGCTCCCTGTGGGGCCACGAAGCGCTGTACTGGGTGTGCGGGACGCATGCGGACGGTAGCGCTGGGACCTTCGGTGGGGCTCC